TGTTCTTTCATTATAATATCTCTGGTCGGTTCTTATGACTACCAGCGCCCAAATCCAAACACTTTGCATGAAGATCGATCCTTCTAACATTAGTCTTATTTCAACTTCTGTTAAAGTGCTAGATCAATTCAAAGATTTTGGATTTTGCAGTAAATTCATATTTTAGTCCATCTCTTAATGGGACAAACATATTTTTTTAAAGAAAACGTTGCCCCACACTAGGATTATCTCCTGTGTCGTGTGTGCGTTTACAAACATACAAGTTCACATACACATGACACCCAGACACGGAACAACAATTTGTGGATCACACAAAGTGTTGTTCCGTGCGGGAATCATGGTAATCAATGTTATAATGGTTTTCGCCTAGTGTGAGCCGATCCTGCAAATGAACCGCACAGAGGGCCCCATCAATGCAGCACACGGCGGTAGGCCGTGAGATATTTGTCATTAAATATTTTAACGAATACCTCCATATAAACTTGTTTACTTTGTCGTTATAAATTATTATGTTAATGTTAATATCCTAAAATTGTGACCGCTATTACAACCTCTTGTTGCTCCTGGACAAACCAAAAAATGTAAAATTAGTTTAAGTATTTATTTCTGTACAAGTGCTTTGTAATTTTTTACAAATAAATGAATTCAAACCGTTAATCGAACCCGCGACATGTTGCACGGCAGCCATTTACCCAGCAACCGCACCAACCCTGCAGTTAAACTGTCAAACACCAAGCGGTCACCGGTGACCGCAACCTATTGTTCTATAATTGTGTCTATAATGACGGTATTCGACGAGTTAAACCTTGTTTTGTCGCATGTCCCATATATGAGATACCCTTCCTAGACTAATCCTATACTAATGGAATCTCAAAGTATCGAACTTCGGTCATTTTAGCGCAAGCCGGCGGCACGTGTACCTGTGAAACCGGTTAGTGAAATCATTATGGTAATTATATAATATGATGTAATATGCTTGCTTTTGTCCGCAGTACAGTAAGCACCCAACTAAATATATCTTTCCCACATTCCTGCATTTACTCGTTCCCCTTTTTAAGATGCTTATACTGTTCTATTTTTTTTAGATGAGGGGAAATCATCCAATGTTTCCTCCAGCCTTAGGTGAGGGGAGAAAGAGTCTCAAACTCTTACTGACTAAACACCACCCCGTTCCTACTCCGCCGGAGCCACAATAACTCGTTAAGTTATTCGTGGAACTAGTTTCAAGCCAAGCTAGGGGTTATTCATGAGCATCATTGCAACCTAATTTATTAGGTGTGCCTTACCGAGTTATAATACATTTTATCTATTTATTTTGTCACCATCCCTACTCTTCCCACAGGTTGCAAGAGTCCCTGTTAATTGTCCGGTCGGAGTTTGAGGATTGTTGGGGATTTGGGGAGGGGGAGGGGAGATTGGGTAATTAGGCCTCGGGTAATCTCACTCACACGACGAAACACAACGCAAGCGTTGCTTCACGTAGATTTTTTGCTCGGCCGTGGTATCACTCCGGTCGAGCTGGCCGAACCATGGCTCTCCCACACTTGTACACATTAAAGTGTCCCCTTTTAAGCAGAGGCAAATTAAATATAGAGAGCGCCCTAGACAAGCACCTTATAGGCGCCCCTAATTTTTTTGGCGCCACCGTCACTTTATGGGCAATTTGCCATGCACGTTTCGCGGCGCCCCACAGTGTGAGAATCCCGCAATCTAGGGGGATTTAAATGAAAATATTTTTTGTCGTAAATGTTATTACAGTTACTACCTATTTATACCTAAGACCGTATTTAACACAGCTACCTATTAGAAATTCTTGTAGGTATGTTAAAAAAATTCAAATAAAATGTTGAAGTGGGTGGATAATAATCGTTGAACCTTTACAATACAAACAACAATATTAAAGTCTCATCTTCACTTGAGATTACTGATCAAATTAACGTATAGTCTTGTTTATTGGTTTATTATTGTATTGTGTATACCTTTCAAGGTAAGTTAGAGTGTATTTTGTTTAAGTAATAGTTAAACATTGATCTCATAACATCATTTGAAAGCACAGTTAAATTAAGCATTTTCTAGAGACGATTTGCAAAACAAAAGGGTGTATAAAAAAAAATGATCTGAATATCCCGGTGCTGTTATTGTTTTAATGTATAGTTTAGAGTCTTACATTTTGAGAACAATTGCTAAAACTTGCGATTTTGTGCGACCGTCATACATTTTTTTTCGGTTTTCAGAATGACGACCGAAATTACAAAAAAACAAATTTTTGATATTTGGACCTCAAATGCAAAAAAGGAGCGAATTGATTCTATTTTTGCTTTAATAATAAATAATTACCCTCATGTACAATTTTCTGAATGTGCTATAAATGAAATTAAGTTCTTTTTAAGGAGGTTATGTAACAAATTTAACGAAATATGGACAGCTAGCGGTAGACATCGTGATCGCTTTTTAAGCAAGAATATGACTTAGTTGAATGAATGCATTACATTACCAGAAAATGTTTTAAATGAAATACCATCTACATCTGGCCATTCACCAGGAAGACTACACAAAAGTTTTGTAGAATGTTGTGATAAAAATCGCCTACAGAGACTTGATATAAAAATGTGGCAAGCTAGAGGTCAACAAAAATAAAGATAAGGTTAAGGCAAGGAAGATACATATACAAACACGGTTCAAAAATGAATTAGGTTTATTAGTAGATTTACCAACTCAGCAAGCTGGTAATACCAATGATGGCAACACAGCACGCCGATTTTTCAGAAGTGCCACAATAACTGCTGATGTTACCGGAATATATTTAGAATTAATAACGAGGTTTCATATCATTTTAGAAACTCTTGGGTCTGGTTTTACAGTCGATTTAGAGTCCTTCAATAGTTACACAGAAGAAACCAGAAACCTATATCTTAGGGAATACTCATGGTATAACACGCCAGTAAGTGTGCACAAAGTTTTATTTCATGGCCGTGATGTCATAGCTTCGTGTATATTCCATTGGCCAGTTATCGGAAGAGGCACAAGAAGCTAGAAACAAAGATAATCGAAGATATAGGGAATTCTTTACTATAAAAACGTCACGAATAGACACCAACACCGACCTACTTAATAGGCTTCTTATATCATCAGACCCTTTCATATCCAGCTTGAGGCTTATAATGAAGAGACAACGAAGTCCTCTAGACTCCGATGTCCTAAAATTGCTTTCTGCAACCACCGTAAATGAGATCGAAAGTAGAGTTAGTGACTAAAATAAGAAAATTTTTTAATACCGCATTTTTTTTAATACAACTTTTTTTTCTATCGCTGTTTAAGAATTTTTATTTATTTCAATATCAATCAATATTATTTTTCAACTTGTATCTTTTATTTAAATCAATTTGGAATTAAATCCCCCTAGATTGCGAGATTCTCACAGTGTGGGCGCCCCTCTGTAATCTGGCGTCCTAGACACTTGCCTAGTTTTACCTTAGGGATAATACGGCTCTGCTCTTTAGTAGAAGACATTTATAGTCCGATATAGACATACGAGCTGATGATGATGATGATGATTTACATATAATCCAGCAGTGGACTGTCCATCAGACCACCACAGGTGGGACCCAACAGGGCTGATGCCGATACGGAACCGTGGAGGACTTAACGGGT